AGATATCCAGTATTTAGTTTCGCAGCATCAGCCTCAGGGATCTCATTAATAATTTAATTAATTAAATGTAATTTCATCAGACTTCATGCTTCTATGTATGCAAAGTATAAATAAAAAGATAGATTTAACTACAGTAAGTTGTTTTATAAAGATTTATTCTGCCAAACTTAGCGAAAGTCCGACATAAAGTATTTGGTAATTAATTATTATTATATGCTTTAACTTGCTGTAACTCTGCTTTATAAATTTTATAAAGTAAAGTTACTTCCCTACTTTATAAATCACCATTACTGTGGAACTGGTGGGCGGTTTAGAAAATATTACTACTATCAGAGATACAAAAGTGGGCGGTAGGTATAAAAAGGTTGACTACCCCTGATTTAAATCATAAAGGTCCCCGTAATTTGCGTGTGAAGATTGTTTTGCGCTAAAAGACCAACGGTCCCAGCCCATAACAATATTCTAAGCTCCGTATTCTGACTGACACCACCAGCCTGCGTGAACATGACTTCATGGTGCAAGGCCATGATGTCATGGTGCAGAGTGCGGGCCACTTACTCGCATCGTCGCGCCGTTTTCTGACCAGCCTGATCTTGCGAGGGGCTGCCGAGAGTAGAGAGAGGGTCCTCTGCCCGCTCTCTGTTCTCCTTCCACTTCCCTTGGCTGTCAGGGCAAAGACCCCTCGGTTTTATTGAGTGGTGGTGCCAGAGGGCACTGAGATCACAGCACCATCAGCAGCGGCGAGCAAGTAGCAGCAGCAGCAGCAAGTAGCGCTGGGGGAGGAGTTTGTGGTTCAGGGCGGATCCCGCAGAGCCGCTGCTGGTTGCTGGCCGGCTTAGAAAGAGGAGAAAGAAAGGTTGGCCGAGCAGCTGGGCGTCCTTGGTGCTGGCACCGCCGCCCGGGCATGAGGATGGCTGTCGGCGCAGCAGCGGCTCCAGGAGATGGAGGCTCGCCGAATCCCGGTCCCGCTGCGGTCTCTTTGGGCTTGAGCGTGGCTGTGGTGTCCAGCCTGGTCAATGGCTCCACGTTCGTGCTGCAGAAAAAAGGAATCGTGCGGGCAAGAGGACGAGGTAGGGCCCCCTGGTCCCCGTCCCTTTCTATGCTTCGGGCTGCAGCAGAAACACTCTGGTGTCTTTGCAACGGCTAGCATCCTCTGCGTGGTCTCCCAATTCGCCGAGCCCACCCCGGCTTTCGTACGCCGCCTTTCCCGGAGCCCCTGCTACCCTACACGGAGGTCATCCTCAGGGAGCGATTAATCAAAATATTTAGCAAATCCAGGCCTCGAGACTGCCTTCCCCGATCAACACAATGCTTCCAGGGGTGTCGGACTACAACTCCCAGAATTCCCAGTACTGGTGCTAAATTGGGGAAGGCTGCTTTAAAACAGACTGTTTCGTTCCAAGGCATTATCGTTGGTTTTAGGCAGTATCAGACATAAGTATTTAGAATGACCATTGCGAATATACCTTGCAATCCTCCTCCGGTTTGGGTCACCACCACGACGGCTAACCCTTCAACTCTCCAATCCAGCCACACCCCCTCCTTTATTGTTTTCTTCTTCAAGTCTGTAATGATATCTGTACTTTTTCAAAAGTCAGTGCTTTTATGTCTGCATTATGAATGTAGGCACTTGATTTGCAAAAGGATTATAACTGAGCATGAATGCTAAATAAAATCTCTCAAATGTCGGGCCAGGGGTTCAGGCAGCCTTTTCAAGATTTCGAATGCTATTTGTCCCTTATTCCAGCAGATGCTACAGCAAATTATTGGCTCAGTTTGTTTGTAATTTGCATTTATAATCTGAATTTATGTGTTTTTTTTTAAATAAATTAACACCAAGAAATTTCTTATAGAATCACTGAGCTTGGACAAGACCATTTACACCAGTGTTTTTCAAGGCAACTTTTAAGATCATGCTAGCTGGGGAATTCTGGGAGTTGAAGTTCACATATTTTAAAGTTGCCAACTTTGAGAAACATTGATTTAGAATGTCAGATCTAATCCATTCAGGAATCCAAAAGAAAACATGCTAGGCAAAAGGTTACCCAGCTTCTGTGTGAATACATCTAATAAATGGAAACCCATCACCTCTCTAGAATAATTGATTCTATTTTCACATTGCACATATTATGAAGACATTTACCTGGATTGTGCCTTCCTGTAATTTAAACTACGTTTATAATCTAGATTCTTATAAAACACTAAACAAAAACAATAGTATGCCATATCATAATACATTATGTAGATCTGATCATAGTTTCAGAAATGCTAAGTGGTACAGGACTTTGTATTAGCAAAGTACACAGAATTCATCCATTACTCCCAAAGGGCTCTATAGCCATTTGCACTGTTCTTTGACCTTTGATAATGATCATTATGAATCCTCAATATAGCAAACATGCAGGCCCCCAAATCCACATTTAACTATATTTCTGTTAATGGGCCTTTTTTCTCATTCACTGAGAAAGGATTATATATTCTTGTAGGAATGTCTAAATTCTGCTATGTTCTGAAATCAGATATAGACAGAAAGGTGATAGTTGCATTTTTAATATAAACTCTTGCATGCCAAACTGGTCTTTGGGGGAATACTTGCATTTAGTCTATGCCCAATTCTGTTACAAGGCCATTAAGCTCTGCATGCCAGAGCAGTCCTATTCTACAGTAGACTTTTCAGCAGATATGTCAAACACAAGGCCCTGGGGGCTGATGCGGCCCGCGAAGTGGTTTCATGTGGCCCGCGAAGCCATCGTGGAAACAGTGAGGGAAACGGCCCCGCTGCCTGGGCCCTGGCCCAGGCTGGCCGGGAGCCAATGTACAATTTTGTGGTGGCCATCTATGCTGAAACACTTTCAGTCTTAGCTCCACAAGGCCGTGTAGAAACAGCAAGGAACCAGCCCCTGCCGCGTCAGCCCCGCCCCCTGGGTGCATGCTGGGGAGGTGTCACCCTTTGTAAGGAATGAAGAAATGGACCATGCCTTGGCGCTTGCCCCCAGTCCCACCCCCTTCTGCCAGAGACCCTCAGATCTGTCCCACTCCTGCCCAGGCCCCCACAGGCACCTTTGACGCGAACGATGTAGAGCTGGCCATGCCCACCCAGTAGGCCACACCCAGTCCATCCACGCCCACCCAGTAGGCCGCACCCACCCTGGCCACACCCACCCGCCCCCCGAGGGCAACCGCAATGCTGATGCGGCCCTCAATGAAATTGAGTTTGATACCCCTGCTTTACAGTGTTGGATATTTCTGTGATCCCCCTATTGGCTCTACCTAGATAGACACAGTACCAAAATATTATTCTCTAAAATCCAGCTACAGTATTTGATTGTTTGAGATTAATAAATGAAACATTCAAATAACAAAGTAAATAGTAATTTATTTTGACAGGTTTCTCTTCAAATTAGAGAGCAACTTGTATTATATAATTCATATAATTGACCGACAACAAGCATTTCATTCTTAGAATTCTTTCACAAATTATTTAGTTCATGAAGAATGTGAAAGTATCACATACAGCTGAAATATACTGTATTTTTGGTCTCAAAACAGCATTACCAGTTTTATTTACAGTAGATTTAGCCGATAATCAGTATGCAATGTGCTTGTTCCATTCTGGAGAAAGTGACTGATATACCACAGAACTATTCCCATGCTTGCAGAAGAAACTGCAAATATAAATTAATTTGCTTGTGAATACAGTGATTTTTGCATTGAATTATTAAGAAATATAGTTGGAAACTCACTGAAATAATTATTCCTGTTCCAATGTAGCAGGAATGCATATTTAAGTATTTATTGTATTAGTATTTATTGAATCAGAAACTGGAAGATCCAGGTACAATTCTGTATTGTAGTAGATTTATGCTGCCTTACGGGATATTTATGCTCCTGGAAAGAATCATGGAAGTGAGAGTAATTAAAGTGAGAAATATTATCCACTTTCTTTGGACAAGAATATGGTGTAATATACTCTACTTAATCTATGCCTACCACATGGACTACATGGTGGCTTGTGTATTCTTGATATCGCACATATACAGAACCTTCATTATGTATTGGCAAGGGAAGTTATAACATTTTACATGCTCAGTAATTTTTAAGTTCTCAAAAATAAATCTTATATACTGACTTGATTAGCATAACATTTGAAGTCATAGTTTGGTTTGATTACTGACTTCTCATAAGCTATAATTAAATTGTGGTCAACGAAGATCTTAACCATTAGTTATGTGAACTAAATAACTTTTAACCATATCCAGCATGCAATCTAAACCCAGTTTAGTGCTTATCTTGCAGTTAAGCAATTATATGACTCTTCTAGGAAAATGAGATGGGATAGAACAGGGCTTTTCAACTGGTAGTACGCATACCACCAGTGGTACGAGAGCACCTGGCTGGTGGTACACGTAGGACGGGTTGAAAAACAATGTAAAAAAATGTAAAAAAAAGTGTAAAAGTGAATGAGGTGAAGCGGCAGCAGCGCCGCACAGGCTTGTGGCAAAGTCAGCTGGAACTGCACATTGCTTGGGTCCTACTGAGAGCCCAGGATCAAAGCGCGCAGCTCCAGCTGATTGGTGGTGGTCTTGGGGCTAGTAGGCAGCCTCAAGCAGTCTTCAGTGGAGATTCCGCTGGAACTGTGCGACGCATTGCCTGGGTCCCCCCCACCCAGATGCCCTCACCTCCCCCAAGCGTTTTTTTACTCACCTGCTTTCAGCAGCATTCCCTTTCTCCTGTCCTTCTCAGCCTTCATGTGTTTGTGAGACAAAAAAAAAGTTCCATGAGACTTTCTAAATTCTCGCGAGAAGTTAGAAAGTCTCATGGAACTTTTTTTTTCTTTTTTACCCACAAACACATGGCGAAGCAAAAGGAGAAAGGGAGTGCAGCTGAAAGCAGGTGAGTAAAAAAATGCGTGGGGGAGGCAAGGGCATCTGGGTGGGGGCGCCAACCTTACCCTGCATGGTGGCGGGAGGGTTAACAGCGGGCGCGGGGAGCCCAGGAGGAGCTGCGCAAAGCAGGCAGATGGGAGGCCGGGCAGATTGTGGGCGTCGGCAAGCAAGCGAGATGGGCAGGGGCACGAATCGGCGTGTGCTCAGAAATGCTGACCTCGTGCTCCTGCTCATCTCACTTGCTTGCAGAAAGCTGTAAAGTTTACAGCACCGCCTTTTGGGAGGGGGAATAAGAATGGCAACTGAGCAGGGCGGAATTGGCAGTTGCGCGTCATTGCTCCGACCACCGTTAGAGGGCGTGGGGCGGCCCTCTCCAGCAAGGCCCCGCCCGCCCTTCCCGCCGCTCTCATGGCTGCCCTCCGGTCGCTGGGCTCGGCTCTCATCTGGAGAGCAAGGCCCGTTTTTGCTCGCAGGTCAGTGCAGCGATGGGGCTGGAGCCCCAAAAGCTCACCTTTGCACCCAGGGAGGGGCTGGAGCTGCTGCAGCTGCATTTCGGCTTGGCGCTGAGGAGCCTCCCAGGGTCCAGCCTGGTGCTGAGGCTCCGCCGTGCCCATAAAAGAAATAGCCGGGGATGCGCGTGGCTCCGGGCTGCGGCTGCAGCAATGAATGAGCCGCTTCCCCGCTCGCTGCTTTTCTCCGGCTGCAGCCGTGCGCAATGCACCAGAGGGAGTCCAGCAGCCGCGGCTCTTTCCGCGTCCCCATGCGCTCCTCCGCTGCCTGCACTCTCCTCCTCCTGCGGAAGAACAGCGGTTGTGCTGAGCTCCCAGCTGCACCGAGCACGACCACAGCTCCTTTTCAGAGGAAGCAGCCAAGGAAAAGCAGCGGGCAGGAACTGCAGCAGCCACCATCGCACAGCCGTCTGGCTCAGCAACAGTGGCGGTGGCGGCGGCCAAACTCCAATTGCCTCCTCCAGGCTCTTTTATGCCCTCCCCGCTCCTGTAGCGCTGGACAATGGGAGGAAGGGACAAAGAGAGGAGGAAGGAGAGGAAGGGAGGGACAATGGAAGGGAGGGAGGAAGGAGGAAGGGACAAAGAGGGAGGGAAGGAAGAAAGGAAGGAAAGAAGGAAGGAAGGGACAATGGGAGGGAGAGAGGGAGGAAAGGAAGGTGCCCATGCCTGTCCCAC